CAAGGACCTATCGGGAGAGGTACCAGATTATCCAATTTCACAAGGCAAATTCTAATGAAAAAGGACATTGCTTCCAAATTTGATTGAAGCCACAGACTTTGAATGATTACCTCAAGCACAAAATGTATCATACCAGTACTGGGCAGTATTGTATATGGACAGAATGGGCTGTTATAGCTTTAATACTTATGGGCTAAATATGGTACCGAAACCTTGTCTTAATGTCACCAACCAGATCAGTACTTGTGTATTTGTTATGTATAACAACTTATGGGTAACTTTACATAAGTTTTATATGATACGATTTGTGCAAGTTTCACATAACTCGTACTTTGTACAAGTCATATTAAATGTATTAAATGTGAGGTTTACTGTAGAGACGAATTCTAACTACAGTAAAACTCACATAAGTTTTATCTCTATAAATCGTATTATCACCTAAGTCGTACCCACCCAAGTCCCATTCAGTTTCTTACCCAAACCATTTATATTTCTTTGCACTCATTATATTTTACAAAACAAATCATCTCTTAATTGATAACACCGCTACTGCACTTTACCGGCTGCATTGAATCGAGGGAAATGAAGTTCTAACTCAATGATGCATGCACACTTGCTAGGTATGCATTGAGGTACGATTCCGCAGTGTAGATTATTGATTAAATTGGATTTTATACTTTGTGTAAGTCATATTAAATGTTATGATCCGGACTGATAAGACTTGCATGAGTTTTACTGTACCCCAACTTTCTCCCTATCACGTTTGAAGAACAGTTAAGATTCCAAAGTATATTCAAATCCCACTGTAGTGTCCAGCAATGAACAAGGGAAATAGTATGACCTAGATTAGACCCATTATAATCTAGTGTTATCTATATATATAATAATATTGCACACCATGGACCTGCAGTATGTGAAGGAGATTAAGAAGATTTTTTAATAGAATTATTAGGTTTTTGAATGCCTTGACAGGGGCAGGGGTTGAAGCAGAATCCATATTAAGTTTGAAGAGTGAACTAGAGAGATATCCAAAAAGGAATAATTTACAAGGGATATGAGGAAAGAACTGGTAAATGGGACAGAGAGCCAGCACAAATACAATTGGCCTTCTTCTGCGCTGTAAAGGTCTGTGGTTCAACTTGTAAACCCAGGACGTCCCCATTGCTATTGCTATTGCGCAAGAGCTCTTATAATGTGGGAATCCTGCAGACCCACGAGGGCAATTGCCAGCTTTCCTACAGACGAGTGCATTGCACAAGAAGTGACAACAGTGGCAACCATTTTCACAGGAAGTAGTGTCAGCATTGGCCATTTTTGCAGGAAGCTACTCAACCTCATCCTGTGGTTCATGCTTATCTGTTCATCCAAACCCTAAAATCTAATGAGTTTGACACCCCAGGCCTAGACTTTGAGCTCAAATAGTCCACGCTGCTGAGGTGTCTAGTACAGTCATATTTTTTGAAAAGCGCTATACAAATGTAATTTTGTTGTTGTTTAGTATCCATAGTCTTTGGTACAGATAAATTGCAGCCTAACACAGTGGTGTCACCTACAATAAGCATCACAGGTAAGGTCAGCAGCCAATCAACTTGCAGACTCTACTGGATAACAAATCTCAGCATTTCTATCTGATGAGCAATTAATGCACTGCCTACTGCTAAGCTGTGCGCCCAGATCACAATTAGACTCTTCCTGGCGACCATGCAGACTTTCCTGTGTTTCCCTGATGGTTTTCCTGTATTTTTCTTGTGCTCCCAGAATCCGGGACAGATCCCAAGAAAAGCATGGAAACAATAAAATGATATTTTGTTAAAACAGTGAAACAAGGCAAGAATCACAAACTGCTTTGTGAGTGGTGTACTTTGCTAACCTACAAGTGCCATGTCCACAATGGGCTTTGTTAACATTTAGCTTGATGGATACACGCAACCTTCCTGTTCTATTTCATACTGAACGTTACAATTGCTTAGTTTTAATGTAGTGTAATGTTGATGGGGAATGAGGAAACAGGGCACACTTTTCCCTGTGGATATCCACATTTCCTTGTTTGCCTTACTGCATATGCAAATAGTTAATTTTCCTGTAAAATATAGCACTTCCCATAGATGTGGCAGATCACCATCTTAGTCCATGGAGTAGAGAAGAGAAAAGAGATCTCTTCCACGTGGAGGGTAAAAATGGGAGAACATTAATTCTAATTGCTATTGCTGGATTAACATTTAGGATACAGGCCACCTGTAGTAAAACATAACATAACCAGGTTATACAAAATTGCCCTGATCTGGGCTATTTCCTGTCCTAGAACAAAGCTTTGTGCATCTTGGAGCAAGGGAAGGAGGAACTGTGAACAAGCTTTAAAAATGGCTTGCCTATGTCAAGACTATGCTAACTTGAAATTCTAACATTTAGATACGTCATAACACCAAACATTGCTTACACTAAATCATTGTAATGCTATGTCGCTATTTACCAGTGTTGTGCACAATTTCATCAATGTATTTTTGAGGGACAGCTGGAAAGCCATGCTTAAGGGTATCCAAACCAGACAGAGTTCCACATATGTATGCCATCTGAACATGGACATTTCTCTGTAACTGGAATGGAATGAATGCGCACTCTCTTCCTGGAGTATTAGGTGCAGGTTGACAAGCCATCCTTGATGACCAAGGCTTGTCAATTCTTTTGGACATGTGTCTTAAGTTGCACTGAGACCTTTATGTCCTTGAAGCAAAACAAGAACGACCAGATTGCCCTTTGCCCTTTCTGAGCGCAGTCCTGCAGGACATTGTCCAAGCAAAAGTTGATATCTATCAGATAGGCATAGGAATCATCAATTGGGACAGCTACCCTTGTATCCAGCCAATCAATGTATAACAAAACTGAATGGAAAGCAATTTTGATCCATGTTATCTTTCCAACCCAACAATGGTTTGTTGTACTTGATATACAGTAAACTCCCAATATATTGTCACTTCAAGGGAAAAGAGCCCAGTGATTCTATAACAAAAACAGAAGTTGCTGGGAACACTCAGCAGGTCAGGCAGCATCTATGGAGAAAGGAAAGTGAGTCAACGTTTCAGTCCATGACCCTTCTTCAGAGCTGAACGTTGATTCTGTATCAGCGGGGTCCATACAGGCATGAGTCCTCCGGGGCTACTAAGGTAGCTTTGATTGAGAGGACCTCAAGCAGCACACTGTGCCTGGGCAGAGTAAGCAGCTGTCACTGCATGGCAGTCAGTTTATTTGTTATTGTGTGAGTGTATGTTTGGCATTTTATACTAAAATTAGTGCGTGTAGCTAAAATGGTGTCACCATACCTGGGGCTAACCAGCAATTTCTATTAGACAACATTGATCTAGATGCAGCAAAACAAAATTAATTTATAAGAAATGTTAGAATCAAGAAGGTACTTCGGTTCAATGAATCTCACCCTTTTTCTTAAATTACGGCCTTGACCATCTTTCATAGTAACTGGTCCTAGCTACTTATTGCCCTTTCTGTAGAGAAATACTTCCTAGTGTCTGTCCTGTATTTCTTCTTCAGAACTCAACCTGCTGTCTTTCTGAATCTTCAAGTATTTTTTCAGGTTTACTTGATCATTAAGCATCTACACATACTTATAGATTATAGCTAACAAGGAAGATTGGGCAGGTTTCAGCTTTTCTCTCGATAGTTGTGACAATTGAGAGGAATCGAGTTGTATTTAAGATTGTGAAAAGATTTGATAAGCTGTTTCCCTTTGTTAATTTGTTCAAAACTCAAGCATAAATATAGTTATGAAGGATTTTTGACAGCGTAAATAGGGAGAAGCTATTTACACTAAGATATTTACACTAAGTGATTAGAGGACACAAATACTGAGTAGATGCTGTTGTAACAAGAAGAGTGAAAGGAGAGCTTAGGAGAAATGTTTTCACACAGATTTGTTGGAATGTTTCCATCAGTACTCTATGCAACCTCTATAAGATCTCCTCTGAGATGTTTGTTTATAAAGCTGAAGCGCCCCTTATCTTATCTAAGCATTACTTTGAGCTCATTACTTTGAGCTCTGTACTCAAAGCATTACTTTGAGCTCTGTAAAATGAGATTTTAAGAGTCTTAAACGTTATTCTGCCTCGATATTTGAGGCAGAATAGATTGCACCAGCCATTCACCGAACCACTAATTGACAACTCAATTCCTCTGCTATTCCGATCAACCTCAGTGGTGTAACTGACTGCTGACTTTTGGCCATCAGCCAGCTTCTCAACCAAAATATTCAAAAAAGGCTTGTTTTGGCGAAGGATTTTCATTCTTTGCTTTCCCCACTTTGCTAAGTGATGAATTGAACAAATCAGCACAGAAAATAAATATTTCTGTTTTTTGCCAATTTTTCTTTCACAAGTCGTTGAAGAAATTCTCACTATATTTGGTATTTCAAATGTCCCCCTTCCCCCCAATACATCATCTTACATGGTGTAGAAAATGTGTATTGTGTCTTATTATGTATACGGTGAGCTGACTCCCAGTCTCAGTGTATGAGTTTTGCCTGCTGCCCCCACCTGAGCTTCTCCCCATCAACCCCCCCCCTTCCACTTCTGCCCCCCACCTTTCATTACTGCCACTCATTCTTCACTGCTACTGCTCTCCCTGCCTTCTGCCCTTCCTGGACAGTTCAATGGCCTCACTCTGGTCCAACCTGGGCATTCTCCATCCAGCTCATTGTGGCATCCACTGACGGCTGTCCCACAACAACCAGCTGCCACCCTTGGATGTATTTAATGTATTCAGAAATACTTGGATGTATTTAATGTATTCAGAAATCTAGGTAAAGGGGTACAATTAAACTTCTGTACTTCTGAAATCCAGTTTAGTTCAGCTAAGTAAAATTTATACGGACTTAAAAAATAAATCTGGATCATCCGTCAGGATTGCTTTATTGTTGAGAGTTGAGCCAGTCACATCTTGTAATGCACGGTTGTATTTTTCATTGCATTTTACATAGTGTCTTTGTGTTTCAGGTATGCTATCTTATCTGGCCACCAGGCTGACAATGATAATATCCAGAATCGCATCAAGGCTGGATATCTTTTCAAGGTAAGCAACATTATTAAAGACATCTCTTTGGTCCTGTCCACATATCTATGGGGTGATAATTCCTTATAACATCCGATAATCTTGCCAGACGCTCTAGGAAATCTGCAAGTCTCTAGCAATCAGAATCTTCTCCAGCAAACCGCTTAGTTTTTGCTGACATCGTAAGTTTAATTAACATTAAAGTTGATGTGTCTGCCTTCAGAACAACAACAACAAGATTACATTTGTATAGCGCCTTTCACGTCGGGATGACATCCCAAGGCGCTGGACAGAATATACTGTAAAGTGAATTGACTGCATTTTTGTGGGCGAAACGCGGCAGCCAATTGCGCACAACAGTGTCCCACAAACAGTCATGGATTGAAAATGACCAATTTATTATTGTTTTGTTTTTTGGACTATTATTAGGCGTGTGGAGTAAGGAAACTTGCCCAAGGTTTCACCCTGCCAAGTGTCTCGCTTGCAAGGCGAGTGCTCTAACCACTGAGCTACAGGACTCCCCAAAGGAGTAGGAATGAGTCCTACATCCTGACAAAAACTAAAAAGTTTACAAAAATTGGTCACAAAGTTTAGGGAAAATATTTGAGTCCCCCAAAAAAGAATTAAAGGCTGTTTGGATTGTAGGATGATGAATGTGCAAAAGATTTCCAAAAGGCAGTGAGTCTAAATATCTTTTAATTTTGCAAATGCAGCTTACTAAAACAACCAATAGTTTTTTAAAAATATTTTGTAAAATTTCCATAAAATAAATAATAATAAATAATGTGTCAGGTGTCAGTCTGGCTCAGTTGGTAGCACTCTTGCCTCTCAGTGTTCTAGACATCTCAAAGCACTTCACAGAATATACTGTAAAGTGAATTGACTGTATATTTGTGGGTGAAACACGGCAGCCAATTGCGCATAACAGTGTCCCACAAACAGTCATAGTTTGAAAATGACCAATTTATTATTGTTAGAATAATAAGGAAGGTTGTGAATTCAAGCCCCAGGTTGGGAGACAACAATGTCCCACAAATAGCTATGAAATTAATGACTACAACAACTTGCATTTATATAATGCCCCTCCAGCAGGTTAGCATTCCAGAGCACTTAACCATCAACCAATTTTATTTCGGGAATTGTTGGCTTGGACACCAGGATTCTATTCGAATATTACCATGGGATCTTTCATGCCCATCTGAACAAACAGACTTGGTTTAACGGCTCATTCGAAGCAACTCCAACAATGGAGCACACCCTAACGCTGCATTGGAGTCTTAACCTTGACTGTATGAGTTCAAAGTCTCAATGTGGGGTTTGAACCCATAATTGTTCGACTCAGAGATGAGAGTGCTGCCAACTGAGCCAGATTGTCTCCTTAGTAAAACTCCCTGGACTACGAAAGGATTATCTCAATTTATGATCATTGGTGGTGTCCACATTTCGCCTAATATGGATTCAAAATTAACAGAATCCATACAGGAGTCACCTAAATAATATCTGCCTAACATCTGACAGTCATAACAGAGACTCCAGCAAAGTAATCCCAACAACCATGCAGGACCCTTCCACTTAGCATTTTCTCGTTCTGTTTGTGCAGAATCCAGTAAGTGACTGGAAGAGCAGTCTCTTCTATGAAGAGCTTTGCGACATTTCAACAACATTAGAAGGTGCTATATCAAATGCAAGGATTATTATTATTTTTCTACGATCCAAAGAATATTGTAGTTTGACAAACTGCAGAGAAAATCTGCAAATTGCTGCTGGATTCAATGCAGTCCAAAGCAATTAGGATCAGTGAATGAGACGAGGGAGACAGAATTTATCCTTTACACCTCAGGGATGTACTCAGGTTCTCAGTCCTGCATATAATATGACAGAGCAGCACCATAAGAGATGCTAGCACTTAATCCAGCCCTTTATATTTATGCCAGGAACAGAAGAACTATTGCAGCTGCACTTCAACAGTTTAAATCAGTCCAAAACAGCTGTATACATCATAAACAGAAAAGCTTTACATATCTCACTGCCTGGAACACTGGTCCTTGTATACAGAAGTTCAGGTCAAGACTTACCATTATGCCAGCTAACCAGCTATGAGAAATCTCCATTGATGCCTGTTTAATTCTTCCAACTGTCATTAGCTAATTTTGTGAGATATCTGTGCTTGCTACTGTTTTCCCAGCCTACATTCTGTTATACCAATTCATGTACAATTTAGCCATACCATCTATGTTTATAAGGCATACTTCTAGCATTTTATAAATATACAATGAAACTGCCCTGATTGATACCAATCTACTTGTTTAATTATAGAATATTACAGGACAGGAATGTTACAAATCTTAAACATTTTGCTCTCTCATTAAACCTTCAAAGTCTTCAAATGTCATCTTAGAGACTGTAGAGGAGATATTTGAAGGAAAATGTTTCTTCAGTGAACATGCAAGATGATCTTTCCGAGTTTTATTTTGATAATCCTATAATGATCATCTTTGCATTTCATATAGCACCTTTCACTTCAGGAGGATGTATTTTACAGAATTTACTGTGTAGTGTCTTTATTTATAGACGAACATGGCATCCAATTTGCACAAACAGTCCCGAAGTGTGTAACCAATTTTATTTGGAAACACGAGGAGAAACTCACTTCTCTTTTTTTGAAATGTGCCACACTATCTTTAACACCCGCCTGAACAAGGTTTAATGTCTTATCTGAAAGGCAGCATCTCCAACAATACATCTACTCCCTCCAGCATTGCATTGGCATTCAGCCCAAAAGTCCCAACATGGGGCTTGAACCCGTCAAACTTCTTACTTGCTGAGAGAGGCATCCATGATCTGAATGACTAATTTTATCTGGGGTTGTTGACCAGGATATCTGGAGAAACTGTCTTGTAAGACGTTCCAACATTATAGCTCAATGGTAGTCGTTAGAAAGCATATAATTTTCTTGTGCGCTTCCACTTGTCACCCAAGTGACTTGCTGCTCAGTGCGTCTCCATTGATAACTTGTCTGGCTAAGCTGTAATTTGGTCATTCCATTTGGTCTCTCCGTTTCTTGATCTCCACCAAGGAAGGTAATGAAGGTAATTCAGAGGTAGAGAATCTTGGTATCCACAGAGGGACCGAAAAGGTTCTACGTTGGTCTACATTTTTTTTCTTCCTGTGGATCCTGCCTGGCCTCCACTTGGTAATAGCCCACAGTGGTATGTTTGAAATTCATAGCTCAGTGTAACAAATTTCATTAATGTAAAATGTGACCAGCCCCAGGATGTTGGGCACAAGCTTTCACTTTAGATTTATGTAGCTCCCATAAACCTGACCATGAATTTAGTGAAGTGGCCTTTGGGTAGGGGCAGACAAGCTAACCTCTTCAGATTAGGTATGTTCGATATTGCAGTCAGAAACAGACACAGAAAATCAGATAAACCAATTCTTTAATAATAATAATAATCCTTTCATTTGATATAGCGCTTTTCACGTATTCTAGAAGTCTCAAAGCGCTTCACAGAATATGCTGTAAAGTGAATTGACTGTATATTTGTGGGCAAAACACGGCAGCCAATTGCGCACAGCAGTGTCCCACAAACAGTCGTGGATTGAAATGACCAATTTATTATTGTTTTGTTTTGGAGGGATTATTATTAGGCTCTGTGTGGAGTAAGGAAGGTTTCGCCCTGCCTGGAATTGAACCCAGGTGTCTCGCTTGCAAGGCGAGTGCTCTAACCACTGAGCTACAGGACTCCATTAACATTACATTTTATGGTTGCACAGACTAATACTGGCAAACAAATTAGAAAAGAGTTGTAATGGCAAACTTAATCCTTCAGGCTCTCATGAAAGGCTTGGAAGTTCCTTCCTAATTGATCTAAACTCTCAGTGTCCCCCAGGTTTGCTATTCACATCTCAACTGACCAGCTCAGAGACCAGAGATGATTTTCAGCTCATTTGTTACTGCAGAATGCACATCCACACTTAGTATGTCAGAGCTCAATCTCCACAGCCCACAAAACCCAGTCCAGTGGGTCTTCGCTGTTTCTTCATCAGATCCGGTTTCTCATGAGCTTAAGAGAAATCTGAGTTGCAGCCTTCACAAAGGTTTCATGCATTATACACCTGCTTTCTGACATAAACTGATTCCTAGCCATGCAGCGTTCCTGTATAATAATCAACAGAAATCAATATAGCGCTACCTTTGAGATCTGGATCTATTGATTGTGGTGAATTTTATGCTGCAGGATGCACAATTCTTTGTGAAACTCCCTCCAACTTAACCTCTATCTCTGAAAGTTTGGTAATATTAATTTTAATTATTATTTATAAGCAACTGTTTATTGAAATGCTTGTTCGTTTAATATTTGATAAAACGTTTAAGAAATGGAGCTCTCGGAAGGTTGCATTTGTCTTGCGGTACTTCTCATGAGCAGAAAGTTCAGGAATTGGCTGGAGTACATGATCTGAAAAGTATTCTGGCTGGTTAGTGAGTTGCTGTTTAGAGCTGTTTGGGATGATTTATCAGTATCTGTGTGAGTGAAAAGAAAATCCCTTTCCAGAACTTGCTCTGCCAGATGTTGTTAATATGAACACAAGTGACCCAAATCTATGCTGGACTTGTCAAATCTACAGCTAGGCTTTCGTATAAAATTCGGAAAAGAAAGTTGTGTTAATGACTTCCCCTGAAAGCTCAAATCCGTCAACTGTTTCTGCGTATATTGTTAGTTTATCAGAGAGGAAGTTACATGATAAGGTTGTTTTCTTTGACAGAAAAAGTAGATTTTCCCCGCTACTTCTCAAACAAGCTTCCTACCTTTTTAGCATAGCATGAAATTGCGTTTGACACATTAATTTAAAACACAATCCTCCAGCTCTGAAGTGATGGATATGCTGAGGAGTTACTGATCTGAACTGTGCGAGGGAGTTCAATTATTAGAAAAAATCTGAATGATTTGGTGATTAAATCATTTTAACTTAACTTTTAAATTAATTCATCTCCTTTCAGCTGTTTGACTCAGAAACTCTTCACAGTTAATGCGACCCAGATACAGGACTCGCTTGGTGTTTTTAAGCTTTGCATCTTTCCCGTGAAGTGTAGGGTACAGGATGGTTCGTGACTGCAGTGTCCTTGGAGTCTAATTCCTAAACTTGGCCCAGCCTTTGGAAAGCCAGCCATATTAAGGTAGAGATGCAGTAGTAGACAGCCACCTATCCATCCTCTTAGTTGGAGGAATGGCAAAGAGGGAAAATAATTTAAAAATTGCTTGAAGCAAAGTATAAAACTGAAGAGAATGTGATTGATTAAAATGCTTGTATTTTATGTGTGTTGAGTGAATCAACTCTTGATCCACTTTGAGTGTAAAATGAGTTTTTGGTTCACAATTGACTAGGGTTATTGTAATATTCTTCCAGGAACACATTGATCAAGCCATTCAGTTGAAGAAAGATGATCCATCTTTATACTACTTGCTTGGAAGATGGTGCTTTGAGGTAAGATTCTGCTAGTGCAATTGTACATCCTGGTGTTCAAAACCTATAGCTGTTTACAGTGCCAAGATAACGTCAGTGAATGTACTTTTGACTCATCCAGATTATCAATAAATAAGAAATACATAATCCTTGCATTGAAATAGCACCTGTAATGTCGAAAGGTCTCAAGATGTTTCACAAGTATTTGTGATCAACTGTAGTATCTGTGTAGTTATTTTGACTACTGTCTGGGGGATGGGGAGGAGAATGTAAGCACAGTCTATTTGGGGCTTAGCTGGCTCCAAAAGGGCATGTTTAGCAATAGAATATCAGAATGGAGTTCATCCTCTCTGATGGTCTTGGTTGTCTTAGTTCCTGAACCAGTCACATCTGCAGTACTCCATGGCCAGTTAGAATTGCTCGTTGGCAGAACTTGGACCAATCAGTACAGACTCAGCTCCTGTCAATCTGCAACCCAAAGCTTTAAAGGGCAGGGTGGTTGTAGCTGGGCAAGCAGCAAGAAGCTTGTCAAATAGTGTTCATAATGGCAAGCTGCGCAATTCTAGTTGGTTAAGCTCCAGCAGTATCCCAACACATACTCTGGTGTTTTCGAACCTTGGCTCTTTCAAACCTGCATGTAATAGTTTCAAGGATTAAGTGAATAGGCTGTGTCTCTCTGGGGAGAAAGTTACAGTTCATTCCAGGCACGGGGAAATTTCCATGTATACTTTTAACCATAAGGGTAGGTTTCCATATGTGTCAGACACCCATGTGACCTAAAAAATTTAATTAATTGTACCCTCATTTACAGTTTTATTCAAAACTTTAAGACTTTACTCTTTTTCTACCTTTGAAGCTTAAGCAAAGTTTAAAATTTCTTAAACTGAATATTTAAAAATAAACAAAAATTCAGAAACGAATAATACAGGTAGAAAACAAGTATAATTTTGCACATTGCTTCTTTTGTCGATTAACAACTCACCCCTGCTGTTTGACCATGTGCATTCAGTCCCAACTATTGTGGATTTAAGTGACGAAATAACTCATGGTCTGAAACTCCAGTGACGTCCAATGGTGTGTTAGCTTGTCTAATGCTAGAGCTTGAACCCAGAACCTGATTTTGGAAGCATATACTGCCTGAATTTAGATATGCACATCTGGAATGAAAGCATTCCTAATCATTTCATAAGGCATTCAATCATGTGAAAAAGCATGTCATTCATTCATTCAACATGGCACCTTTACTACATTGTGATTTGGGGGTCAAACACATAATCTATCATGTTCTCACATCCTATATAAGAGTGGTTTTATTCAACAGATGTTAGTTCATTTTCACCTCACAGGAAGAATACCCTGTACCATTTCAGGAAAGTGCTGAACGCATTTTTTGCCAGAATTTCTCCTAACAAGCAATCATTCTACAACCTGTGAGAACTGAGGAACAACTGCCTCACACTAACCTGTACAACCGTCACTAATTGTATATAAGGGGGCAGCTCTTCAGAGCCTACATTTGTCAACTTGTTTTTTGAGAGGCAATGGCAGTCCTTCCTGCACTGGTAGGTACCTTATTGGCATCATTAAACATCCACTTTCAAAGCTTGCAATACCAGGTTAATGCTTTAAGTTTAAGATATGAAATTTAGTTAACTGGGATCATTCATTGCTCAGTGTCTTAACAACCAGTTTATTGGCGATAATTAAATATAATCCTTGGATTTGGTGCTTGGCAGATAATTCAGTTTAAAAGCATTCTGGTTCACAATCGGATCTGAGAAATTGTACAATTTGTACAGCCAATTTTTGGGACAATTTGCTTCCCTCCTCTTCTGAATATGCAGAGTTTTGCCAATTACGCAGGAACCCACAGCATTTTGGTATCTTGTCCAAGTAGCCATTCTCCACGTGTGAACACAGTATGCCAGTATCACCAGTCAGCTTGGCCATTGAGAACAACAGAACCAATTCTGAGGTCACTAGACAGTGTTCAGGAGTGGGAACGTTGATTGACGGATCCTCTTCCTGGGTGCTAAGCCCAATCATAGTATCTTCTAACGTTACAAAACAAAGAAATAATCCTTGCATTTGATATAGCGCCTTATCACGTCTTCTAGACATCTCAAAGTGCATCACAGAATACACTAAAGTGAATTGACCGTATATTTTGTGGGTGAAACACGGCAGCCAATTGCACAAAGCAGTGTCCCATAAACAGTTGTGGATTGAGTGACCAAATTATTGTTAATTGTTTTAAGGAATTATTACATTATTATATGAAAAGTTACCCCAGTTGAATTCTATTATCTAGTAATGGAGTTGCTCCTGACACTGCCAGCCTGGACAATGTGGGACTTGAACCCCAACTGAGCTGACACCCATTTCATAGAATCATAGAATATTACAGCACAGAAGGAGGCCATTCGGCCCATTGTGCCTATGCTGGCTCTTTGGAAGAGATACCCAATCAGCGCCCCCCCCACCACCACTGCTCTTTCCCCATATCCTTGCAAATTTTTCCTTTTTCAAGTACCTACCCAATTCCTTTTTGAAAGTTGTTATTGAATCTGTTTCCATCAGCCTTTCAGGCAGTGCATTCCAGACCGTAACAACTCTCTGAGTAATAAAAAATTCTCCTCATCTCCGTCCTGGTTCTTTTGCCAATTATCTTAAATCCGTGTGCCCTGGTTACCGACCTACCGGCCAGTGGAAAAAGTTGCACCCTATCTACTCAATCAAAACCCCTGCTAATTCCGAACACCTCTATTAAATCTCCCCCTAGTCTTCTCTGCTCTAAAGAGAATAATCCCAGCCTCTCTAGTCTCTAAATGGTGGGAGAGGCAGAGGCCAGTGTGGGTTTCAAGAGGGTCGTAGACAGGTATATGAGAGATAGAGGCTTGAAGGACTGTGGGGACAGAGCAAGGTAGTGGGACTGAGTGATCCCTGCTACAGTGTGTGTGTGAGCACTTATGTTCACATGTGCATGTGTGTGTGTGCAAGTGGTGCAAACTGGGACAGCACTGGGTTCAGCTGTGATGTTCCGAGTCATTTAATCGCTACCCATAAAACACAATTAATGATTTATGCCACAGTTCAGCTCATTTAGTGACAAGGGCATGCCCACATATGGATTAAGGAAACAGAAAATAAATGAATGGTTCTCAATTTTGACAATTTCTCAAAGGAATTTGGTGAAAGTCACCGCCTAGTGTTCATTGATAAAGCCATTAACAAGAATACTTGGTGACAGGCCTTACCTGGTAATTGAAATTTACTTTGCACAAAAATGACACCAGGCTTTGTTTGGATGATGGCATACTTATTTGTGGGTCAGTTAATTTTAAGAAGAGGAAGCCATATCTAAGGTTGACTACTATTGCAAATCATCTTATGATGTAACATTTGATACAAAATGTTTTTTTCGTCAGCTGCTTGACACATGTGGAAAACTATCACATGCTTAAGAATAACCAAATCAAACATCCCATCTATACATGGGTATTCCAGAGGATGAATATTTGCTGTGTTTTACTGTGGGATAATGTTAAATTTATTCCTTGGGTTGCGAAGGAGCCTATATTTATTGGGATATGGCAAGTGTTTAAAGCGTACTTGGAGCAGATGCCAGACCGCAAGGCTTGCTAATTGCCACAGTAGCAGCAGAAACGCATCATTTGATAGTTTCTAGGGACATTTGTTGTTTTAACATGGTAGCTATTAATATTTTGGGATAAAACATCACCGGAGGTTAACAAAGTGCATGACACTAATGAAACTGAACCAACCACCTTCTAATTACATCCAGAACAAGCAGGAAAAGCTACTGGTTTTGACAGAACGTAGAGTCCTTTCATGACTGCAAGTTATATTCAAATACAACTTTAGCTCTCTGGCATTGAGAGTAGGAAACCCTTGCACTCTGACTAATGGAATGCATACTGTACCGGTGCGTTTTCTCATCAGTGATCTCCATCCATAGTAACCATCTGTTTCTCATCGCCTATGATTTCACCTCCACAAATGACATTTTTCCAGATTTTCTTTTCCAGATTATTTATGATTTATGAATGTGTCCATTTAGTTCAGTTCTTCCCCACTCACATTAACTAACCTTTCTCCCCACTTCATCTGTTTCTACCCCAGTCTTTGTAACTTGCACAGTGATGGCAAGTGTCCTTCAGGCTCCCAAGTCCAGAGAGAAACCAAGCACAAACTCTGTATTTGGTTGTTGGGTCATATCTGGACCAGAAATTTGGTAAAATATCATTCTAACGTTAGAGAACCCAGTGAGGAATGTGTTGCAGAGACTCCAATCGGAACATCCTTATAAATGATTCTAATTAGAAAAGCCAATGTGAGGTGACTGGAAATGCATCCTCTGACGAGCTTGTTGCAAGATTACTTTTTCTCTTGGGGCCAATCAGTATCATATTGTTTTTTTTATTTGAGCTAAAAATGTAAACCTTAAACTGTTCATGAATCCAATGTTTTAGGATGGAATGTACAGGAAGTGAGGCAGAGGGTTACAGAGAAGGAGTCCAGGAGAAGGGGTAGAATAATAATAATCCTTGCATTTGATATAGCGCTTTTCACGTCGGGAGGACGTCCCAAAGCGCTTCACAGAACACACTTGTGGGCGAACGCGGCAGCCAATTGCGCACAGCAATGTCCCACAAACAGTCGTAGATTGAAAATGACCAATTTATTATTGTTTTTGGTTATGGGGGGAATATTATTAGGCTCTGGGTGGAGTAAGGAAACTTGCCCAAGGTTTCGCCCTGACCTGCCTGGAATTGATCTCAGGTCTCTCGCTTGCAAAGCGAGTGCTCTAACCACTGAGCTACAGGACTCCACAGAAGCAGGGAGTTTGAGAAGTTGGGCGCATAATGATGGAAGGCTTAGTCACCAACGGTGGCACAGAGCGGGCTGGGGATGCACAGTGGGATACGAGCAGATCCGAGGTAGGGAGGTGCTAGGGCCTGAAGGAATTTATAGGGTTGAGGACCCTCAATCTCTTTTCA